TAAAATTGATTTTTTAATAGTTAATGTTAACACTGTTAAAAAATCAAGTGATTGAATTTTATCTGTATTTTCATTATATGTACTATCAAGAACTGTACATGTAAGTATTTCTAAATGTGTTATAGAACGAAATAGAATTATAAGATCATTTATTGTAGCTAAAGTTAATGTTAATTCACGTAAATTTTCATTTAATTTTTGTCCAGATAATTTACTTAAATCAAATATAATACCAATAATAAAACAATTTTTTAATGATTGTAATTGATTTATTGGTATAAGAATTTGATCAATAAGTAATTTTTCAATAAATTTATCATTTTCATTAAATGTTAATGATAAACGCCAAAGTTGTTTAAGTAATGGTTGAATAACAAGAAAATATCTTGATAATTCATCATATTCAATTAAATCAAATGTTAATGATTCAAGTTGATTAATTTGAGACCAATCAAGTTTATAAAGTGTTTCACTTATTTGACCAAATGTATATGCATTACTTAAACGAAGTATACGTAAATTATTTGTAAAACATGGAGATAATGATTGTGTTAAAGATTGAAAATAAGATTTACTTATAAAACGAAAATCAAGTGTATGTGTATAGGGTTCTAAAAGAATATTGAGATGAATATAAAGATCAGTAAATGAATATAGAAGATCAATAGGACGAAGATATTGAAAAATTTCAAGAATAATATCTGTACAAAGATCTTGAAAATGTGATCTAAAATTTAATTTCTAATATTTATTTAATATAATTATATTTAATTATTTGCTTACTTATTTTTAATAATAGTTACATTTTTTGAATGTTTATCTATTGAATTATTTTCAAATTCTTCATTATAATTCGATGCTACTTCATCAAAAGTACGTTTTGATAATCGATTACTCATTTCAACAGAACCGTTGCCATTTATTTCGATCTAAAACCAAAAATCATTTTATTTTTTTAGTATGCAGTTAAAAAAGGTCAAGTATAGTATAGCAATGACGAATCATATACAACGATATTCTGGATTGCAAATATATGGGCAAGAAACACACTTGACCTATATGATGAACTATACTTTTTTATCCGCTAGAGGATAGATTCAAGCCAATCGAAATTATTACAGTTACTTCTTTTTATGAAATTGATCGTTGGCAAAGACAATTTAGAATAAATAGTATATAGTTTAAATATTTAAAATGAGTAGAACATAGGTTTGTTTAACAAGTCTATAATGATAATGCAAGTTATCATAAAAAGGTCTAGTTTAAAAAGAATCCTACAGACAAAAAAAAGCTTTTCAATTTCGTTGGACAACAACAAAATATTGTAGGAAATTAAAGTCTAGATTAAATTATATTGCTAAAATCATCACTCGAAAAATACATAATTCGAAGGTATAGCATCGAACATCCTAATTAACCTATCATTTGTGCTATTCATCCAATCTTGACTTCTATCTTCAATGTATCATATATACATTTTTATTTCCAAGCAATATCTTAGTGAGCAAAGATGATAAAGAACTTATTCATAATCTTTATTGATTCACTTTAAAAAAGAAATATCCACCAATCATATGTTTGATATTCCTATGATAAATTGTTTTCACCGGATAAAACGCTTTTAAAGTCAAACTCTATTAATCTGAGTATAATATGATAACAGAGTTGACTATTCATACAAATATACTATTTTGATAAAATACATTGATGTAATCTCTTAATATTGAGTTTCATCTTTTTTATAAGTTACCAGAAATATTCAAAGTATGTATTTGTATATTTCTTATCTTCTAATTACTTGTAAATCGATAAATGTAAAGATAATATTATAAATGATATGTGTTTATTAAATGAAATCCATGAAGAAAATGTCATGATCAGTTAATACTTACAAAATTTCTTAATTATTTTTTTGAATATGATGATTCTATCTTCGATGTTTGTGTTCTATCATTATAAAATATATATATATTATATCCAATATCGATGTCTATTCATTTGCTAAATATTGTTGATTCTATATTAATTTTCTGTTTTTGTTAAATTGATATGATTAGGTACTGTATGATTTTCTTTTTTTTAATCAATAGATCTGTGAATTAGAAGATATGGATCAAAAAAACATTTGTTTTAATAAATTTTGTTATTCTGGGATTTTTCATTTAAACTCAAATTATGCTCTCCAAAAAAAAAAAACAAAACAATTAGAGCAACATAGAAAGAAAAACGCACACACGAAAATTGATACAACAAACATCCAGAAACAAGAAAAAAAAAACGAAAATGAAGCGTTTTTCACACATTTTCGAAGCATACGAAAAGACAAGGATAATATGGATGTGCATGATCTATATCAATCTGCATAGACGATCAAGTAAATCAAACAATGCGTTGCAAGTGAAACGACAGGAAAAACATGAGAACAAAAAAGAATTAGTTCAATAATAAATAGAACATGACAGAGGATTTTAAAAAATGAGTATTGAGATAGACACGAAAAGAGAAAACGAAGAGTAAGAAAAAGATATCATATACAAAAGAAGAAAAAAAAAAACAAAATGAATCGCTGCACATTCATAATGATGATTCATGACTCTATCAGTTGCACAAAGAAGAACAAAAAAAAAAACAAACACAACATTTAATTTGTGAGCAATGGGTAGGTTTTAGTGGAAAATCCTTAACTCAAATTTCTTTTTTCCTTTTTTTTTTTTTTTCTATGAAATAAACAAATCGAAAGAACACTGCTACTACATATTGTCTATATATCGGCACTCGTTGATTTACAAAAACATGATTAAGAATGAATTTGTTATTTATTGCATAGCCGCTCGACAAAAAAAAAAAAAAAAAAAAAAAAAAAAAACTTTTTTTTTGTTTTTAAACACACATGAGTAAGAATACAACAAAACTTATATTTGTTTGTGTGTATGCATGTATTGATCATTAACAACAACAAGAAAAAAAAACAAAAAATAGATATCTATATGTATATATGACAATAGTCGCGCGGGTAGTACACACAAAAACATGAGAAGAAAAAAAAAAAAAAAAAAAAAAGAATTGCACACGCATACATACATACAAGCAAGAGGAAAAACAAATGCCGAAATTTTCGATGTCATGAGAAGAAACATACACATCTGAAGAAGGACACTTTCTTTGGTTAATTTTAATGCCGAATTTGATTTAATTTATGATTGTTGAATTTCATCATTTGGAGTTACACTTGATGAATCAACATCATTGGTATGTGTCATTTCACCATTGATTATTTTTGATTTTGATTTTCGAGAAAATAATGATGGATGACGTTTTAATTTTGCTCGATCATTCTAAATAAAAATAATAAGATTTTATAATTTAAATAAATATATTTAGGATAAAGACAAAAAAAAAAAAGTAATACGGGGGGTTTTTATATTTTTCTTTTCGCTTATGGTGGATAGATCAATCGAACAAAAATGCTGAAATACTTTCTAACAATAAGCAAAAATAAAGTAACAGGTTTAATGATATACAATGCAAAGCACAACACCATTTAATTTACCGTCTGTTATGACTGTCTATCAAGCTGTAAAAATATCAAATTTATTCATACGATTCTTATATTGATTAACTTACTTCATCCATTTTTCGATCTGTACCATTGGCAATTAACAAACGAAATTCTCTTTCAAGAATTTGACGTGTCTAAAAAAATATAAAATAAAACATAATTTAAAAAAAAAAAACATTATTTTTTTTTACCATTGTTTGTTGACTGGGTATTTGTAAAGCTAATGCTAATGTATTATGATCAAATGTTTCATCAAGTGCAATTAAACCACCATGAATACCAGTTTCAGTTAAATTATTTGCATATTCTTTTAATCCATTTATTGTTGTTAACCATTGAATAATTCGTTCATT